ACACACACACACACACACACACACACACACACACACACACACACACACACGTTACAAGGCATTTTGTCAGATACCTTGAGGTCTGCCACAGAAAAATAGGCATGAAGGATCATATACTTTTAGAATGTCAAAGCAAATGCGGGTGTCAATTAATTTCTGTACTGCATGATAATAACTCCAGGAGCTGAGTCTAGACTTCTTAGTAGTTTTGCCATTATTAATTTTTCGATTCCTTGAAAGACTTTTATGTATTATTTTGGCTTCTTCCATTTTTGTGTGTGTTTCTAGGCAACCTGGGCAAACTTCCTGATTCATATGGCTTCTATTTCTTCCCCAAATTCCATCTTCAACCTGAACGTCTTCTGTACTCTAGAATCCTTTATCCATCTGTCCCTGGACCTCTCCATGTGAATATCATATAGACAACTTGAATTCAGCATTTCTAACATGGAACTCATAATATTTTGTATAAGCCTGTCACTTGTCTTATGATTGATATCTCAGCAAACATCATGACTATCCTTTCATTTTTCCAAATGACAATGTGGTCATTATGTCTGACTCCTCATCCCTTCCTTCAGAAATCCTGTCAACCAGCACACTGTCTGAATTCTATAACTCCTCTGTCAGATTTTTGGTTCAAGTCATCTTTCCTTGTTTAGATTAATGGAAATATAATCCAACTACTCCCCCCATTGATTTTTCTACAAAACTTTTCTAAAACTGGCATTTGATAAACTCACTCCTCTACATAAAAATCATTCAATGACTTCAATCCTCTCAGAACTGAATAAGGATCTATGTGAAGAATTGCATGATGCTCTATGATCTGGACCCTTTTTCATTTCTTGCTTATCCATACATTTTACTATAAAATTTGAGCACTCTAAACTACTGTGAATTCCCTAAGCTTCTGCTCACCACAAGGACTTTAAGTATACTGTTCTCTCATCCTATAACTTCTTTTGTCCTATTCTTTCTTCACTTAACATATTCCTACTTACCCTTTCAGCATGAGTTTGTCATTGTTTTCCAGGAGAAGCTTTCTCTGGCAGTCAGCTTCATCCAGAGACTGGCTTACCTTTCCATCCTAGGGGATCCCATTACCCCTGTTCTTAACCTACTGCAGTAGTTGTCAGAGTACTCAGGACCCATTAGAGTCATGAGCCCCTCCAAAACGGGGATGTGTTCTGAGAATTGTGTGCTTAGATCATTTTACCATTGCAAAAACATCATAGAATGTACTTAGGGAAACTTACATGGTACAGCCTACTACACGCCTAGGCTACATGGTGCAGCCTGATGCTCGTAAGCCACAAACCTGTACATTATGTCACCGTACTTAACAGTGTAGGCAACTGTAACACAGTGGAAAGTATTTGTGTATCTAATCATAGAAAAAATACAGCAAAAATATGATATTATAACCTTATGAGACCACTGTCATATATGCAGTCTGTCATTATGCAGCAAATGACTATACATAATTTGTGGGGCTCAGTGCCAAGGAAAAATGAGACACCCATTGTTCAAAAATTATCAACAATTTCGAGGGGGTGCTAGAAGAGCATTTGACCAAGTAAAGAGCTCTTTTAAGTGCCGGGAACTTTGCAGCTATGTAGCTCACACATTTACCAGGTTCTGTAAGCTTGCATCTTGCTGCTTATTCTGTCTTTATTGCTCACTAAATTATAAGCTCCTTAAAGGTAGAGTCTATTTGTCCTACTCCCCATTACTTCTTCAGGAAGTAGCACTTTTCCTTGCTCATGATTATTACTCAGAAAATATCTGTCAATTCAATTCTCCATTCTGAGAAAAATAAATCACAATGTGGCCACTAGTTTTCGGGCAACACCTGCAAAGAGAGGATTTGTCCACATGTTGTAATTGGACACCTCCAGGACTAAGATTAAATTGAAGCTTCTTTTAATCTATAACCATTCCTAAATTTATTAAGGATATTAAAGGTATGCATTATAAAATCTAAAATTATTTGTAGTAAGAGCAATTATTAAAATATAAATATTTAATATATATATATCAACTATAGAATTACATGAAAATGAATAATAATAATTCAAACCCTTCCAAGTATTTCAGTGGAATGTGGATACTGCTGTGTTGGTCATTGAGCTGCAATGACCTCCAGTACCACAGTGCTTTGTGCAGGCTGGGTGCAAAGTTTCAGGGAGTACTAGATTTAGCCTTACACAGATAATTTGTTTCTTTCTTAGTCTATTTGCATTCCTTCCCTATTTTGTTTTTTACTTAAATAACTTATTTCTAAAGGATTCATGTCAATGCCCCCTCCTCAGTCCACTTGGGATTTTAGATTCACTCTGCTTTTCCCACATTCTCTTGAATTTGCTGCCCCAAATACCTATCCAAACTCTGTAGATGGATAAAGGATTCTAGAATACAGAAGACATTCAGGTTGTAGATAGAGTTTGGGGAGGAAATAGAAGCCACATGAATTGAGAATTTTGGCAGGTTGCCTAAAAACACAAATAAATTGAAATAGGAATTGGTGTCCAAATACCGATCCCAAACTCTGCAGTTCGACAAAAAGAGGGGAACTTTGAGAATGTTTAATGCAGCACAAGATTGTGGAACGTAAAGGTCTCAGCTAAGTGGTCCAAGGTGTGCCATTTCTCTCCCTTCCTCCTCCCTCCTCCTCTTCCTCTACCTCTCTATGCCTTGTTTTTTACGCCTGCAAAATGATATACTGGGACTCTACAACTCTGATGTTCTTTCCAGCTTAAGCACTGAATCATGTGCCTGTCAGTAGAAGAGGCTGGGCCTCACGAGAGAAGCAGAAGTCAGATAAATGAAAGGGAAAGGGGAGGGAGGACACTGAGAAAGACCTGGCCTAAGTGAGAGCTCTGCACGTAGATGACTGTCAGTGAGCCTGCCCTAGTGACCCAGCTGCTGTGCCACAAACATGGCCTGAGTGTATAATGTGCCAAGCTCTGTTCTAAGAGCTTCTTGTGTATCGATCATTTACTCATCCCAACAATCATTCTTATTTTATTGATAGGGAAATTATATCCATGGCTAGTTAGTGATTGATTCAGGATTCCAAAATCATTCAGTTTGACCTCATGTTATTCCTGGGTCCCCATGATTAGGAAATCTCTAAAATTGCATTTTGAAGAATTAGGGCTCATGAATTCTTTCAAAAAAAAAAAAAAGCACAATTTTCTCCTTTAGACATTTTTTGAGAACAAGTGGTGCTCTTTGGAAAGCACAATGAACATGAAGATATAATTTTTACAAAATTTAAACAGGAAAGGAGCTACTAAATGACAGTGGATGAGAAAGATATCTTGTTACTTATTTTCTGGACCTCTTATTCCTGCAGATGACTACATTCCATCTCCTTCCTTTATTTCTCCTGCTGTATAATTTTTCACAGGCTTTGTTCTACACACTCATCATCTTTGGTATTCCTTTATATAGCTTTCTTTTTTTTTTAATTCCCTGTGTCTCTTTCAGCAGACTGAATAAGGTAAAATTCCTCTAGTTCTCCATTCAATAATATTTTAAAAAATGATGCCTGATTATTAAACGCCAGCATTGCCA